GTTTAAAAAGACAAAAGCAGAATTTTATACTAGATCTGTCTATAATAAATATTTTGTTTTCTTCAATTTACTGAAAGAATAGTAGCTTCTTTCCCGTGCCTTCCAGTTCTTTCACGAATATGACAGGTGACCAAACCAACTGGGTGTCTTTTCTATTTTAATACTCAGTGTGTGGCTTTTATTTTGTTATTTTTCAGTCAACTTACTTAGAATCCAGAATAACTTTTTTGAATAATAGTAAATAAAAAAGAATGAACTGGTACTTTACTGTTTTTCATTTATTTAATTACATATACAATATTGTAATTGATGATTGAATCTAAAACACTTCTAAGCAATAGTTTGCTGTTCAAAGAGTTTATGAATTTTAGGACAGTTTAAATATTTTATCGAAAATAATTTCTCGCTTTTACCAGAGGCATACGTAACCAATGAATTGTTTGATCAAACCAAACAAATGATCCCCAAATCAAACAATGAATCTAAATTTGTTTTAGATATGCAGTTGTGCATTTACTTCCTTATTTTTAATTAAATTATTAGTTAAGAAGTACGTCGTGTAGTTATGTAATTAATTTTTTTATAGTATTTCGAAATGCATAAAAGCCTATAAAATCAAAACACTTATACACATACCTATTGACGTATAAAGTCTATTTATGTATTTATTGTACCTTGCATTTGACCGAAATAACCTATTTTACTAAACGAAGGTTAAACCAGTCATGGTATTCCGACAAATAAGTTTTTAACGTCTTATTAAATCTCCCAATGTCACTTCTAATTTGTAATGAAAAAATGTTATAGCATCTCTTTATTTTAACAAAACATTTTTTGCAAATAATACTTATTATTCTATCGTGCTGTCTAAAACGATATGACAACTTAATTTGACACAGACAAATTAAATATAACTGTGTTTTTCAGTTTCAAAATTAATTTAAAAATACGTTATAGTTTAGTGACTGTTTTGATTAGTGTGAGACACATTATTGAAAACTAAAATGAATAATAAAGATATTACTTCTACATACCTGGTTTGTAAGGGATGTTTAGGTACCCGCCTGAACAATACTCAGTAATTTCAGGTACACAGAAAAATTTTAAGATTGATGTTTTGGGGTGAGAAATATATTAGTAATATGAAAGACAGTTAAAAACTAACCACAAAAATGAGAAGTGATCTGATAAAACGCGAGATAAATCCATTTAAAAAAAAATAGGTACGATTTCTATAGCATTTGAGTGTAATAAATCTATTTCCATGCTCATATGTGTTCTAAACGCAATATATTCTATTTTTGTTAAATGTGTACCTATTCTTAATTTTATTGGATTTACTAGTTTTCAATTTAATTTTTGTTTTTATATCTTTATTATGTGAAAAACGCAATAAATCCCAAAGTAAATCATAATGCATTTAGTCAAGTGGATTTTTCACCTTTTTTTTAGATTGCTTTATGCTTTACTAAGAAGTTAAAGAAAACACATGCTTATAATTAATTCATCAGGAAACAAGCTCTTGGATGTCTTTACAATTCTTTCCGGTGGCTCCATGTCCATTAATGCACACAAACTGGTCCAGAAAGATGAAAATCAAAGAGTGCCAGGGTTTGGGGAATATGAAAGCAGGTTTTTAACTATATTCGCTAGGTTAATTAAGTAATAAAGAAATTTACAATTTATTTATTTATTTTTGTCTATAAACTGCATCAAGAGTAATAATACGCGCGATATTTTCCAAATTCTATTGAATTATTAAAACATCATCTGCCAAAACTCATTTTAAAAATAATATTTAGATAGGAAAATCGTTTAGTTGAATTAAATAAACAATTACGTTATTAGTGCTTTCTTTTGACAAAGAAACATTATCACATTTTATGAATCTATAATAGTTTCTTTTTGTTTAAAAACTAGTTACCACGTTTTTGTTATAAATATGTCATCGGTAAACTCTAAATTTTAGGAAATTTAATTATATTCCTGATCTTTTATTATCTAAAGTGTGTTCTAATTTGTTGAGAAATATCCTTCCTACTCTGTTGTACACACATCTTTCTTATAAATTTGTATACATTTTCCTGGTTTTTCACATTGTCAAAAAAACAGTAAAATTTAAGGAAAATTACAAGGGTTCAAGAAGCTGCGACATCTATGTCACAGCATTTGAATATTCTAGATATTTCTATCTCCGAAATTATTCATTATTGTACTCTTCAAACAGTAATCTGTGAAGATTTGGTTCCGTCCGTCCCATGTCACGTTTTTTGTTCGCTCGATAAGTCAGAAACGAAAAAAGATATCATTTTGAAAATTTCTAGAAAAATAAAGTTCTATAAGGGGACTAACAATAAGCTTATTGACTTTGAAACCAATCTGAATAAAAATGGGGGGATTCAGTGAGGTTGAAATATAGAAAAAATTCTAACTCAAAAACTAAATATGATATCAACTTGCAACTTTTAGTAAAAATCAAACCCTATAAAGGAAAAAAGCCCACCTTGATTTTGAAAAAATCTGATTAAAAATGGGGGTTTAAAATTAAAAAAAAATCATAAATCAAAAACGAAAAGCGATATCAACATGACATTTTTAGTAAAAATCAAACTCTATAAGGAGATGAAGCCTATAGATTTAAAAAATAAATTGAATAAAAATGGGCGCTTTTGAAATATTTAAAAAAATCCGAACTCAAAAACGAACAATAATACCAACTTGAAAAATGCCTATTGATTTAAAAAAATATCTGAATAAAAATGGGGTCAAGGAAGGTTGAAATAAAAAAAAATAGAAATCAGAAACCAAAAGTCATATCAACATGAAAATCGAGCTTTATAAGGGGATGAAGCCTATTGATTCTAAAAAAAATCTAAATTAAAATGAGGGTGAGGGGTTTATTAAACTATAAAGAGTATAATATCGAATGCCAAGCATTATTTAATATATCTTCATTCTAGTTGTAAGGTATATCCAATACCTTGATATACGATGTATGCATTCTTAAAAATTTGAACAGTTCCGGAAGTACTTATTAAAAATTTATCTTTCTAACATTTTAGTACATCCTGTATTACCTACTTTTTACTTTCCTATCTGTATACAGATGTAAGGAAAGTATAGGAATCATGTTTATAGTATAGGTACATTTATTTGAACAATAGCCACCCATTGGTGTCGAATGATGAAGTTCAATCCATGTGTCATTTAACTTTTCGATAAAAGGTATTAATTGTTCTGTCGTTAGATAGGTACCTATTTTTAAAGTAATTAGACCTATAATACCTACTGTTTTTAAGCATCACAATAACATTTTAATAGGTAGGTATTTTAATATAATTATTTTAAATACAGGGCGTCATCAAAAAAATGTTAGGTATATGTAGGGGAGGATAAGATAAATAACGGAAAAGGGGGTATTAATGGAAAGAGGGTATTAATGGAAATGGAGTATTAATGGAAAGGGAGTATTGATATAAAGGGAGTATTAATGGAAAGGGAGTATTAATACAAAAGGGGATAATAATGGAAATGGGGGTGGGTATTAATGAAAAGGGGATGTTAATGGAAAGGGGGTATTAATGGACAGACGGGTATTAATCTGCCGTGATAATTCAAATGGCCGTATCTATTTAATACTTGAACGTGAGGAAAATCGATTGTTCAAGAAAAATCACTTACGTCTAAATTTCTAAGCGTTAAATCTCGGGTTTTATAGAAGATACATCCATGAAAGTTATAGAGATGGGCAAAAAATTCATTGTTGTCATGCGTAGTGGTCATATCTTTATTTCAAGGAAAATTTTAGTTACGGCCATTTGAGTTAACACGGCAGTAATGGAGTGGGAGTTATTTATGTTATTTTTATTAGTCAAACTGAAGGAACATATAATTGTTTTTTTTATTTAGAAGCAAGTTCACAAGATAGTTACACTGAGAGTGCCTATGTCAGAATTCTTTATCATTAATTATTTTCGAAAGATTGACATAAATGTTTATAATTGCCTACCTACGATTAAATAAACAGCACTTTTTAACATGTTCGGGCTAAGAAATTAAAGCTAATTTTAAGATGGGATTTCATTTTTATAGCGTGAAATTTTAGAACCTCTCGTAAATATGCTATTAATTTGGTTGCAACCAGTTGTTGTAGAATCGCTTTTTGATTATAGTGGGTAAATATAGATATACAGTGTGTGCCATATAAAGTTGGATCCATATGGGAATGTTTGGAAAAAAGCGTCGTAGGGCAATCGTAGGCCAAATTCGCATTTAATTCCTTTTGAAAATGATTTTTCAAATACCGAATTTGACAGATAACTAATGCAGTAGGTACCTACCTAGCCAACTTTAATATGGGTTATTTTAAGTTTCTGAACAAGCAGTTTTTTTTGAATCGTAATATTAAAATCCGATATAGGTCCAACTTTATAGAATACACTGTATAGCTAAGTATTTTATTTACAAAAAAAAAATTATGTAATAAGTCAAAATTGGTAACAAAATATAGTTACCTATGCCTTAAAGTATACCTATTATATTTTCAAATTCATAAACAGTAAAGTAAAGATTTTGAGAAATTTATCTAGAAAATTACCCTTATTTGTGATATAAGGGTTTACATTTGCTAAGAAATGAAATATAAATCATCCGAAAATATTTTTATGAGGCACATAATAAATATGTGACTGTTGACTAAATTGTTTTCAGCATTTTCTTACAAAAACTCTTTTGAAGAATTTTTTTAACACATCGTTCCGTCAATTCATGCCTGTAATAAAATCCAGACGGTCCTAATTTCAACTCCAGACTTGAATGATTTAAAAGCATCATCTGTGTAAATGACACAAATAAAAAATAAACATAACAGAACTTAAGAGGCTGGAAGTTGTAAATGATAACCCAGTACTTACTATAACGACTTGTTTTTATCTCGTCATTAAGTAACTGGTAATTAAATTGTTTTTTTTTATTTAAAAATCCATGTATAATTTACTTACTATTAACGAAAAGCAATTTTCTTGTAGAACCCAGTCTTTTTATTGGAGACTTAGTTTCAAGTTCGTTTTCATCCATTGCACCAAAATCTCAAAAACAAAATGCAACAAGAAAGGAAAGTTGCTGAATTAATTTAAACCGTTTTTTAAAGACTTTTCATGGCGCGCAATCAAAAGTTTTAACACAACAAACAACGGTTACAAACAAAACAAAAATATTTCTTTCTTTTTTCGCCGAACAAAGAGGAACTCGTCAATAAAATTTACAGTGCCCAACGTGCTTCGATATTTCGATATTTACACGGACTCACTACAACAACCGTCTTGTATTTCCCCAACGAATTGTCTATCCCTAACCGAAGTTCGAACACTTTACATCCTTAGTTATGCTCAACGTTCAACAAATCCGAAAATAGACATTGTTGGCGCTACAATGTTGCCAACGTTCCCGCCAATCTTTCTTTTTTAGAATGCCGCAGCTTTCATGGAAATTCTTGATCTCGGAATGTATAAATATAGTTATGATTCACTTCTTTAAGGTATTGTTTATAATAATGAGTTCATTTCTTTCTCTCTAATCCGTTTATCCATTTAAGTTTTAAGTAACTCGTCTAGACAAAACTTTAAATTTACGTTAAGTCGCCACTTTAATTTTGGATTGTTTATAATACCAATAGAAGCAAAAAATTAGTGCCAAAGAACCTCTAAGAAATATCAACGATTTGCTATTTTTAGATCCTTCTATGCTAAAAAGAATTTTTATCGACAGGGACGGATTTAGGTAGAAATCACACCCTTTATTAAGAATATTGTTATGTTTTTATAAATAAAGTATAAGTAAGAATAAAGATTTTACACATTCAGATTACTTTAATATGAAATGTGCTAAAGTCGTAGTATGTATTATTTTATTCTCGTGCTGCACTACTGTATATACATTGAGTATTTATTTTAGAGAAACTTTATCATTATTTTTGTCGGTCTTAAGCAAGAGAAGACTACCAAGTTGTACCGCGCTTAACTGATTTGACCTGGCAGCGTAAAAGGTTGCCCTTTTTTGACCACCGAGATATACCACAAAATTAAAATTAGGTAATTGTAAAATATATCCCAGTAAACCACAAATAGTCGGCATTCGCTCGGCCTGACACCGGCATGTACGGGAAGCCGAGTACTCGGATTCCCGTTTCTTCTGAGCCGAGAGGACCGTACCATTTGACGTAATTTTGAAGTAGAAATCGCATATGGTCCATATTTGGCGTTCCAGACATGGGAATCATCCTTATGGGCCGAGCGCGGTTAATATTTGGCTAGCCGGATATGGGAGGCATCCTTACGATCCTAATTATATATAGATAATATATGGACGCGACTACAATTTAGTGGGCTGCCGACATTCGGCTGGGCAGACGTGCCATACCTATATGCCTAAGCCTCACCCGTATATCGGGCCGAATCCGGCATTTGGCAAGCCTCCTTCGGCCCATTTATGGTGCCGATAAACTGTGTTTATTGGGATGATAATTATATTGGTTATTAAATCATTAAATTAAAAAAAATCACTAATTTACTCAACCTGTGCGGCCTGGAGCCATCGCGGGATAATTAAAGACACAGGTGGATAGCCATTATTTATCAAAATTGGAAATCAAAACTATCGCAAACAAAACATATAGTGTAATTTAAGTATATTAGGCCATAAAAAGTATTTTTTTAAAAAATGTGACATGACACCTTTATCCACTTGTGTCTTCAATTATCGGTGGTACAACTAGGTGGTAGGATTACATCTACCTCTGGTGTTCTGTGGTACAACTCGGAAGTCCCCAAAGCAGGACACTGCTATCTCTTGGATCCCAGTATTCAAGTACTATATGTTTGAATAGTCCTATATCTTTGGTTGGTTCGTTTTCCTTACCAACTGTTCCTGGGGGCGTTCTTTCAGGTTTTCTAACCTAAAAGGATGTTTCTCTGTATAGATAGAAATTTGTGGTATAAGGTGTCTCCATCTTCTACACGTGGTTGGATCATTGTGCAATCCAATTGTGTAATCCCATTAGCAAACATCTGGAGCCTTGCGAGCTATCCTGTAAGTAGTATCTCAACAGGCATGCGTGTTATTTTAGAGGAACTTCATAAAGGCAAAACATAAGTCTTGTACCTGGCACTAAAGCTTTTTAGTAGAGTCGATAGAATTTTAGTCGTTAACCAAAGCATTTCTTTATTCTTGGTGACCATGCAATGTTATCTTTCCTTTTAAAATGTTATTCGTTATTCCAACAACACGAATAACTCGTGACATAAATATTCTAATAAATGAAAGGGTTGGGCAATCGTAGAAGATATGCTCGATGGTCTAGTCTTTCTGTTCGCATCCCCTGCAGAGGGCGGATTCTGACAGCCCCATGATATGGAGATGCTTCCGTACTTGGCAATGACCAATCATAATGCCTGTGACCAGGCGCAGATTATGTCTAGTCATAATCAAGTATTTGTTTACTACTGTAGTATTATCAGGATAATTTAAAAGCTCCATGGCAGCTCTGCAGTTTCTTGTTTAATCCCATCTTTCCTTGAATTTTACAAGGAAATGTTCTTTAATTAGGTCTGGCAGTACCGATTTTGTCAGGCCAATAGAAGGGCAAGGTCCAAGAAGTATTTGGCTTGCTGCCTTCTTGGCTAGTGAATCAGCAAGAGGGTTACCTTTCCATGTGGCGTGATCTTTATTCCATCTTAAGGTGACCACATTGTTGATGGATACTTCGGTCAAAGTTTCGTGACATTTTAGTACCAACCCTGAGTAAATTCGTGTTCTGTTTAGGGTGGGTAGTGCTTGTCTGCTATCTGTATAGATGAATATGTTCCTTCCAGTGATATTGTTTCTGGTGATTTCTTTTGCTGCTATAAGAATCCATCCAAATCTTGAGCCTTGTTTTGTTTTAGAACCGTTGATGTAGATATGAATCGTACCTGCCACTTCCGGCTCTTCTATTTGTTCTATTATAACTTTGTATATCGGTAAGATGGAGTCCAAGTTCGCTAGAAGTAGATCATACATCAGGTTCTATTTTAACCGTGTAGAGACATGTCATTGTTATCAGAGCAACCTCCTTGATGTAAATATCGAGGGGAGTGGGACTAAGAATGACTTCCATGGCTCTGGTCGGTATGTCTGTTGTGTTTAGACATGCTGTTCTTTGAATTTGTTCTAGTTTGCGGATAGCTGTCAATTTTTGGGTTTTCAGTACCCAGACAACTGCACCATATGTTAGCATAGGTCTTATGATAGCCGTATAAGTCTATACGACGACTGGGGGAGAAACCGCAGGTGCGCCCCATGGTTCGGCGGCATTGTTAATAAGCTCTTTTGAAGCTTCGGTACATATTATTAAGTATTATTATCTATCCGTCAATCCATAAATATACTTTTTAGATTATCATGATACTTCTTCTGGGAAAGAAGACAAAAATTATAAAAAAAAAACAAGTTATTGCAACCAATGAAATACAGAAAGGAATATAAATTGATTGATATTTTATACAAATTTCAAATATAACTTTGATCTGATAAATAAATTATTTCAGTTTAATCCTGTTGGATAAGTTGGCACCACTGCAAAACGATAATGGGCTGACTTCATCAACGTGATATGTCGTGCACGCTGTAATGCCTGATGTTTAACGAACAATGTATCAGACAATGATATAACTAAGTCCAAAATCGATACACTAATTATTGAGTTGAGCTTAATTTACATTTTTCACTCCAAACTACAAAGCGACATCTAACAACGCATATTCATTAAATCACAAAAGCTTTCCTTTTAAATCTATAACGTAATATTTGATTTCACATTGTTTAAATTATTAGATTTAATATTCCAAAATTAAATGAGAGTATGTATAATGTAATCAGGATCAACATTTTCAAACCCGTTGCCAGAAAATAAACACCATGAATTAAATCAGGTGATCTAAGGAGCTATTTTATTTTTCATATCGTACTTTCAAGAAACTCGATTACTGGCCTTTTATTGTAACTGTTGGAATCTTCTTATTAAAACAACAGGCCCCCAAAAGTTAACTGGGTGTTTTGAAGTACTGGAACAAATCGAGTTTCCAACCAGGTTAATGATCAGTAATGAAAGTACATACAATCAATGTGTCTTATAAAACTGTAAGGAACGCAGGCGCTAGTGGACGACTTGGTTAGATGCTATTATTTATTCACTTATTTTTATTTTGCTAATGCGTTCTTCGTTCCTCTTGTTGTATCCGTTACAGAAGTTTATTTTCCGCTGATTTCGTATGTGAAAGCAGTGGCGGTTATAGGGGCATCAGACTCTTTGCTCAGGTCATATTTATAGATATATTGTGTGCTAGCTTTAATGAAGTGTACCTAGGTATTTCATTCTTTAAAATAATTTTTTTTGCATTTAAGAACTCATTTAAGATGATTGATTAAAAACTACTTAAGTTTTATCATGATACATGACAGAGTTAAGACAGCAATCTACAAAATCTTATTTAATTTCATTATGGTGAATGTATCTTAGAGATCTTTGAGATATAAAGCGTAGGAGAAAAATTCTAAAAACGTCTAATTTTCTCGAAAACGAGTTGTCAGAAATTTGCAAAATTTTGGATGTGGGGGTTTAAGACATGTCGATTCCCCTTTTATTTTCTTTGTTGCGACATTTACCATTATTCCGATAATATAGGTCACAATGATTTTTTAAATGCAACACCCTGTATATTATTTGATTTGTGTTCTGAAATCTTAGTTCAACGATATAACAGATTTTATGATGTTGCAATTAAAAACTAAAGTGACCAATATTATCGCAAAATAACGGTCAATCTAACAAAAGCGCAAATACAAAATAGCCATTTCCTTTGACGCCAAATTTTTTAGATTTTTGATAACCCGTTTTCAAGAAAAGGGGTTTCCAAAATTTGTCTCCATTTTACATATGGGATATTGAAATATTTCATCAAAAATAATACTAGAATACTAAGATTTTTCGATTTTTTTGAGTATTTCTTCTTTGCATTATTCTTGTTTGACCGGTTGTTGAACACAACCAAACTTGGTAACTACTTTAAGATAAGGCCTTTTGTTCTTTACAAACATGATAATAAAGAAGAAACGACTGCTGATATTTAGTATCTTGTGAATTTTGTGTTCAGAAATAAAATAACGATCCTCCGGTAATTTTATTTCGGTCCAAAAACACAACAAAATGCCTTATATTGGACTAACAGATATGCAGAGGGGTGAGAATTATTGCTCTCATTGAACAAGGAATGCCCCAATGAGACGTAACAGAGGTAGTAAGCGATACCCAGGGTGTTGTATTGAAAACATATGAAAGGTACTTGGAACTAGAAACTCTCAAGAACAGGTCCATACAAAGTAGTCAAAGAGTCACAACTGAACAACAGGAATACTTTGTATGCCAATTTACTTGACGAAATCCCAGTGTTTCTCATCTA